GTATCTCATCTAAATCTGCCCTCTTTCAGTTTGAAGCCATTCCTCCTTGACCCACCACTACACACTTCTGTAAATTCTATCTAGCCTTGATGTAAAATCTTCATCTTAAACTTCTTCTTTTTTTTTTCTTCTTTTTCTAAATCCAGTGTTACCTGAAACTAAATTCAATCTTGTGACCTCTGAGTTGATATACAAAAAATTTTGAGGAGCACCTTGATTTTTGCAGTCACTGAAAAATAAGTTCACATTCATTCTTTTGAATGAATTCATTCTTTTGAAGTGGCATCCAACACAAACGCATACATATTTTTCATTATGCCTGTTTTCATAACATCTTAAATTCTCAGAAACCTCTCACCATCAATTTTCTTGGAAGTCCTGAGATGATCTTTTCAACTTGGACTAAATGAAATTTGCATAGTTTTGCCCTTCAGTGCTTGTAGATTTTGTCTATGTCCAAAAAAATACAGCTATTTTTCCATAAAGCCTCTAGACAAATTAACGAGGCAAGTGCCAACAGCCTCTTGTGCCCATCCCTGGCACACTCAGTTCGTCCAAAACAGCTTCAGCACCTTTCAGAAGCAAAAAACCCATACAGAACTGTAAACTTTGTATCTAAACTGCTTCTCCTCGGGTTCACTGCAATAATTTGTGTTTAAGGTGTTGGCTTGGAAAGAGGAGAGGGCAACGGAGCTGGTGAAGGGTCTGATGAGGAGCAGCTGAGGGGGCTCAGCTGGAAAAAAGGAGGCTCGGGGAGGACCTTCTCAGGAAGGGACCTGTAAGGATCATCAAGTCCAACTCTTGCCAACTCTGTAGGCAAACTCTTGTTAGGAACGGAGTCTTACATTCCGAGTGTTTTTAAGAAGTTGATTTTGACCTTTAAACGCAATTTTAGTTGTACAGAAGTTTTGAAGCTACACAGACTGAGATGCTCAGATATTATGGAACTTCACTGACAGGTACAACATAAAGCTACCAGAAGCCAGTAGAATTTTCCTCGTTATTTCCTCTTTCCTTTTTTCTTTACTTCATGCAGGTTTGTCATGACACATGATTCTGTTTCCTGTGACTCTATCAAAATGCTGCCTTAAGTAATATTTCTGCCATTTGCTCAGATTCCAGTAACTGCTGTTAATGCTACTCTTGTACCCAAACCAAGTGATTTTCACACCAAACAGATTGAGAAATAGTCTCTTAATGTTTAATAAACTTCACTGCAATGTGTATGTGCACTTCAAAAATACAGGCAATAAATTAATTGCACAATTGCCTTTCCTCAAGAAAGGCTGGGTTTAATTGTAGCTTCTCCTTATTCTGAGAACATTAAAATCCAGCACAACTATGCAAAGGCAATTCCAGTCCTGAAAGGGAAGAAATTTTGCACAGGTCCCTCAATGGCTGATTAAAAACAACATCATCTCTGCTCCTACAGGAGTTCCTCTATGTCCTGTTATTCTCCTTCATTCTCAAAATTACTTCCAGCCCTTAGTTGTGATTTCTAGACACAGAAAGCACACGCAGGATCTGGCTTGTAAATACTTGTGTCCTACTGAGAAAACTCAGCACAATGACACACCGAGCCTAAGAAAAAAAACCCCAAACCAGTAGTCTAACCAGGTTATGCAGGATTTTTTTCTGTGGCTACCTAGTGAGTAGAACATCTGTACAGCCATTCCTTCACACTTGGGGAGACCCACAATGGTGTTTCCTCGGTCTTCTACCCAAAGCAGCAGCTTTGGTCCCACAGCAAAAGGAAATATGTAAATTGTAAAGGGCCAAGTTTGCCTTTGAGAAAAACTGAAGTAATTCACTCTCCCAGACACGAAGCACTAATTGAAGTTCTTATGAAGGACATGTGTTTTTTGAAGGCAATCCATAATTTCTGAACTCTGCTGCAGACAGTTACTGGCAGTTTGTAAGCACCCAGTGGCATGTGTATCAAACATGGAATGGTAGAGATGCAGCTGAGATGACAGCATTAGTAAAGCTTTAAATTGATGGATTTTCTAGTGTTTTTCCCTGTGTCATCATTCAGAGCAGGCCTGGCACTGTGGGGGATGGGTAACCTGATAAAGACTATCACATGCATTTAAAGAACCCAACTCTGTCATAACTGGGAAACTTCAAGTATTTAAAACCTTCTGAGATAGGAAGTTGTCAGCCCGTCTATGACAGAGACAGGAATATCAGGAATATCTCACTGAAGAAATAATAACAAGGCTTCAGTGATTTATACAGATTTCAGGCTACTGAAAGGCTGCTCCTCACAGGCCATTTTCCTCTTTCAGAGCAAAATCTGGTACCTAGTGGGGATTGGGTGGCATTACCTTCATCACCACTTCCAGTAGAGATGCCTGTCTGAGAGCAGCTGAGCTTTTACAATAGTGTACTGTGAGATGCAAATTTGTTTTCTGGACAATATGCTCTGAAAATTCATGGAATTTGCTACTTTTTTATATGCTGTGCAAAGCTGAGGCTGGAACAGAGCAGGAAATTTCGCCCTTTAAAGCTTTATGATACTTCAAAAATAAACATTTCCACGCTACATTAAGCCCATCCCAAAGTGCTTTCACAGTTTTGAAACAGATAATGCTGCAATATTTGGAGGGTTTGGACTTAACGTTGCACCTCAAAGAAGTAGTTACAGGGTTGCCATGGTTTAGTCAGTCAAGTAGGAGTTGCACATTGCAAACATGTGGCTGCAGGGAAGATTTCACTCACAAATAAAGCTGGTTTTGGGTGTCTACATGAAAATAGAGTGTGTTGGCAAAAGTGGAGCTAGTCCATACTGTCAGTGAAGACTAAAGTTCAGGTGAGCAGATAGAGGTGTCTATTGCAGGCCAAGCTGATGACAGAAAGGTTATATCTACTGGCTTGAATTTGTGATATAGAAAGCCATTTGGTGAGCCCCATTATATCCCACTTGGCTTCCCACTTCCCAGTCAGATGTGAATCTTCTCTAGACCCTGCATCACTTGGTAAGACCCATGTGGATGTCTCAGATAGTCTACAGCCTCTCAAACTTATTAGATATCTGTGTTCAGGGAAATAAATCAAGACCACCTACGTCACCAAAGTTGGGTGTCTTGGACTGGCTCCTGCAGAAATGCCCATTCCCACCAAAACAGAGTGATATAGCTGGAAAATCAGTTATGGAATCATTCCAGGTCTGCTAGTAGATTGTTATCAAGGCACAGAAGTACATGAGTCGAATCATCCTGCCTTTGACAAGCTTGATTTTGTCTGAACTCATTTAAGTTACAGGAGACGGGAAGTTGGCTTATGGCTTTGGACAGACAACTACAGACTGCTGCAGTGAAGGGGATATTTCTCCCACTAAAGACAGCTGAAAGAATGCCAGAACAGCCAAAAAAACCTGAAAACCTGGTGGGAACAGCCAGCTGATCTTAGTCCAAGTGCACAAAATGGAAGTGCACTGGATTGATAGAAAGTCCTGATGGGTTATGAAATCACAGCCTGGATTCCAGTCCCTCATGTTCCCTGTGACACCGGTGAAAAAAAAAAAGACATAAAAAAGGCCTGCTGTCTACATGGGAGATTCTCCTTCTGCATTTACAGTGTAAACCTGATGAATGTGACAAGTAGAACTGAAGGGACTTCTGCTGCCTTAAACCTTATCAGATGGTGCAGCACAGCAGCTCACAAAAATATAAGCACAGCCACAAGTAACCTGGGTGTATGGCAAGGTTTTGAGAATCATAGAATATTCTGAGTTGGAAGGGACTGACAAGGATCATCGAATCCAACTCTTGGCCCTCCATGGGACATCCAACAATCTCACCACGTGCCTGAGAGCATTGTCCAAACCCTCCTTGAGCTCTGTCAGCCTTGGTGCTGTGCCCACTGCCCTGGGGAGCCTGGTCAGTGCCCAACCACCCTCTGGGGGAAGAACCTTTTCCTAATGTCCAACCTAAACCTCCCTGGCACAGCTGGTGGTAACTGTGGTTCTACAGTTAAGGTGCCTGCACTTTTGGGGGAAGGTTTAAACCCTCTGTTTAAAATGGAGTGGTGAGAATTTATGGAAGGAAAGTTGGGAAGGGAACCGAGAACACTCTGCTGACAGCATATAAAAGTGGCACATGCCTAACCTGAGAAAGCCGTGCTACTTCTTGTTAACACCACATCAGAATTAATGAGGAAGAGGGGAAATCACTAAAATAAAATAAAATACTGGTGCTTCATTGTCTGAAGTACAGAAGACGTTGCAGAGCAGCAGGATGAGAAGCCAAGCCCATTCTTTCTCATAACCCACAATGATATTAAGAACCAGCAACAGCAAAATATATATACCAATAGAACAGGAATAATGAAGACATGGAAATAATTTCTGCAGAAACACAAATTTTAACTGGACAAAAATGACACACTTAAATGCAGGTACATGAGACACTGGCAGTGTAAACAGGGGTAAAAATAAATCTCTCACACTTTGGGGTGGAAGTCAAACACTGGATATTAATGAAACATTTCGTGCTTGAGTGGCTGTACCTAAAATTAATTCTGAGGAACACCATCAGTCTGCCCCCAACCCTCTTTTCTGAATGCAACAGGCATTGATCACTCAGAGACAGAAATCCACATGGAAAAACTAACTCTCTCAGCTCAGCATGGCAATCCCATTTTAAAAATAGGTCACCTGCAGCGTATCCTTAGCAAGAGCCCAGCTCAGAGGTAATTAGGTATGCCCAGAAATCGTATTTTTAATTAATGAGGAACTTCAAAGAAGTCTTAAAACGAAGAACAAAAATTTTGTAATCTGAGAAGGCTTCTTTTCCTCTGCCCTGACCTCTCAGGTAATAACCCAAATTTGATAGAGCTTTGAGAACAAAGGACACCCACAAAGAGGGGTGGGAAATTCAGGTGCACAGTAACAGTCTTCTAGGACAGACTGATGGAACTGTGACCCCACGTAAAAACATCTCATGTCTCTGTAATCAGGCATTCAAGTAAGTTCTGCCTCCCAAGAATTAATTACTTACCTCACCATTCAGGAAGCAGTAAAATACTGACACAAAGAAACCCTGGAAAGAACAGAAAGCAGTCACTTATTAGGCAAATATTTTAACACTTCCACTGATAGAGGGGATTGCCACTAAAGCATATCTACAGCATCCAGCTGCCTCCCAAAATGGCCCAGACCCCTCACAGGTGCTATGTCATGTCTGACAGCTCTGTGTGGGTGTCTCAGGCACTCACAGGGGGTGTCAAATGGCTTTAGATGGTCTTGTGTGGGCAGGTTTATCATCAGGTTGCTTAAATTCCCCTGAGCTGAAGGGCTCTGTGGAATTTATTCACAGCAGTGACTAGACCCCTGTAAGGACTGCAAAGATCAGAATTCCTGTGAGTGGAATCCTTCCCATTTTTGGTTTTAGCAATGGACTGTAATTATTGTCACCATAAAGGAGAGATTCCCTATGCTTTCTTTCTTACATAGATCTTCGTAACACTAACAACAAAACAAGCAGTGCAGCACTTTTTGAGACACTGAGTGTCAGCAGATGAAAAGTACAATCAATTTTAGGGACTGAAAGGTGTGGATTAGTTCATTGTAAAAGGCTAAGGTTCCTTTCTTCGCAGATTAAAAGTGACATTTTTCATTTTGGTTATTCAGTTGTGATTTCTGGGGAGATTGCCTGTGTGTCCAAGACAAATGTGCAATCAGTAAAAACAGTAACCCAAACCTCATAACTTTTATAATCCATAACCCTAGATTTGTCTTGACAGCTGTGTGTTTGTATTGACACCCCTGGGTATCAGGGTGCTTGTTCCTGCACATAGGAGGTAAAATATCAATGTCAAACATGGTTCCATCCTAGTTCTGAAAGGTCTTTAAGCAGAAGTAAAGCTGTAGGACACAACTGGGCAGAAATGTGGGGCTAAAGATCATCCAAGGTCTTCAGTTGCTTTTGGTTTTGTGCCAAATTCAGAAAGCTGGGGCAATTATTCACATTCCACTGCTTTTTACATCCTGGCAGAACTCCTGTTAAATTCAGGGAAGGGAGGAGATGGGACATGTGTTCTGATGGCTGAGTGAATGCACCACTGCAGGACAGCTGGAGTGAGAGGCTGGGCAATACAGCCAAAGTCTTCATCTCCCAAATCAAATAGGTAGGTGTTGTTTCCCTTTGTTTTAACAACACCTAATCTGTCTCAGCCCACTGTGTGCTCTGTGAAAAGAGCAGTACCCTGGGAGGGCGATTCATCATCCTCTCTCAGGCAGTTAAAATGAAATATCATCTCTCCACTGACTTTAGATGGAGCCCAGGTGAGGAGCTGTAGCTGTAGACTGAACGTAGTGCTGATATTAAGGGGGATGAATTCCTCCAGCACACACCTGAGAGGAGATCTCCACTCCATATGACATATTTATATGTCTGTTGTGTATGTGTGAACTAAGCTGAGCTATTTTCAACTAGTATTTCCATCCTAGACTTCATTCCCATGAGATTCACGGCTGAAAAGCACTGAGGATCCCTTTGGCAGCAGCTGATGCCAGCTGTAAATTTGCTCTCTTACCTGAAAAGACTGCAGGAAGGAATTAAAATAGATGAAAACGATCTGGGAAATGTCATCTTCACCAGGGTTGACAAAGAAAAGCATGTAGGTGATGCCCAGCAGAGGCAGGAGGACTAAGGTGGCTTTGACTGCCTTCCTGTGGGCAGGAAACAACACAGGAGTGAACACAAGGAAGGACAAGTGTGGTGGGGTGGGAAGGAGGAGCATGGAAGGAGTGACAGCCTCCCCTTTCTGACCAGTGCCTGTCCACTTGGAAAAACGTGTTCTGGGAAAGGTTTTGCCTTTGAATCCTGCTGTTTGTGCCCACACTCTGAACCCCAGGGGATGAATGGGAACATTATTTATATCCCTCCCTTTTTCTCTCTTTTCCCTTCAGCTCCTCTCCAACCAATAAGTCTTGCAACAGGCTGAAGCCTGGAGACTCTCTGCAGGTTTGTTGAGTGATTTCCTGTACCTCAGGGTGATGTTCTCAGTGCACAGTTTAGCTGCTTTTGTTAACACCAGAACAGCAAGAAGCACCAGCTCACTTACCTGTATTGTATTGTCTCTGAAGTGGTTGAAGCTCTCAGCTTTGTCATTAAAATCCTAACTATGTTAAATAGAAATACAAAATTTATCTGGAAATAAAAGAAAGAGAGAGAAAAAAATGAGTGAGTCAAATAATGGCTTAAGGGTTGTGATACACCCTAAAAGGCCCATTTTACAGTTCCAGTCTGACTGAAAACAGCCTCTTGGTTTTACTATTGATTGCAACAGACCCAGAATTTTACTAGAAATACCAGATTATACAGAAAACATCCAACAGCTGTTAATGTTTCCAAAACAGCAATGAAAGTGGAGTACAAAATTAAAAGTTTGAGCAAGGAACTTATTTTTATTTCCTTTTCTCCTTTCCTGGGCGCAACGAGGAACTAAGGGTGAGATTTTTGGCTCTTTGCCGGGCTCATCCAAGGCTCCCTGCACAGAGTGTTGGGCAGCACTGTGCTGTGATGATCTGGGAGGTGTTTGAACCCATTCTCCCATTCAACAGGAGGCTGAAATGGTGGGGTCAGGTTCCTCAAGTACAAGGCTGCACTGCAGAGAGCTAAATGTGAAACAGTCACCACCAGACTCCCTTTGTATTTGTATACGTTGCACTCCACAAGAGACCTTTAAAACAGAGCAGATGAATCACACCTGTAGAGTGCCTCCTTTTTTGCACTGTCTTTAAAGGTAAAATGATGGATTTACCACTTCCCTTTTTAATCTGCTGAGCTGGGTAATTGTTATTTGTGTTACGGCCTCACCACTGAGAATTGAGATTTGCTCTAATTACCGTTGTTGTAGCATCTGTTAGGGAGTTTCTTACATAAGTTTCCTGTCAGTGTAAGCAGGAAAGGGAAAAAAAAAAAAAACAAATTGAAGAGAAGGTTCCGATTTGTAGACTGTGGTCAGTGGAAGGTTTTGGCACTTAGGAGCAAGTTTTGAGTGGCTTTCAACACACAGAGTAGCTTATAACACACTGATCTGTCTCCAAGCTATCAGTGATGCAGGCTGTCAGAACCACAGAGCTGTCCCCTCAGGACTGCTGAGGTCCCAACCTAAGCCTGTGAGAAGGCATTTACCTCACACCCATTCCCAGGGTCCCAGGGCTCCTGGCATTTTGCAGCCTATGAATGGAACGGATCTGTGATTCACTTCCAACTGTTTACAAACACTGCATCGGAGCTGCCAATTTAAAGGTGTTCTCAGAATATGCTCCTTTTTCTTTTCCCCCCCCGTGCTACGCGGTGCATTTCAATGATCACGGTGCCTTGACACCCATCAGACCATTCATTCCCTGTGGTTCCTGTAACACTGTTTATAACAAATGGTGCAATAAGCATCCAAACAGACACTGGGAGACTGGCAGCACTGGGAATTGTGTGCATCAAGCACTTACTACGTGAGACACAAAAACGCTGCTCTAGGCGTGAACGTGACATTTTTGGAAATTATTTTCTTAGCAGAGCAGGGCCCTGGGGAGTACAAGGAATAAATAAAACAGTGCAGTTGGTATATTTGCTCTTGTTAGAATCGTTTTTTTGTGATATTAAGAGCTTGAAGTCAACTGGCTCACAAAAACAGCTTCATATCCCTGTTTTGACTTGAATTTTAAACTCCTCACACTGGTGACTGCTCTGTTTCTCAGTTACAGAAAGAGAAATGTTCAGGCAATCCCTGAAATGTCCAGGCTCAGGGGGAGGTGGATGAGAGTGTCTCTCATCCACAGAGATCTTTTGTCTCTGAAATTCTGCTGTCAACTCTTGAGGTTCTTCACCAGCTCAGAGCCATGTTTGGGTGACTTCTACCGAAGATGCAAAACAGGCACCAATCTGAAACTTGACACTTTTGGAATCATAATGGAAAAGTGCCAGATTGAATTATAGAGTCCTAAGCAAGAGCAAGTAAGATTAATCACATGGGATTAACACGATGAACTGGACTGGAGAAGGCATTTCAAGTTTCCTGAGTCCTGCTTTGATGTGACAGCATCATTCCGTTTGAACTGGAAATTCAAATTGCCACAGACTGCATCAGAAAATTAGGGATTTTGACCTTTTCTGAAATTAAACTGCAGAAGTGTGATTCATCAGACCAGAAGGATAATTGCCAGCTGAAAACTTTGGGTGTTACTTCACTAGAAACACTCTTGTTGTATGTAAATCAATTTTTCGTTCTCCCAGTTCAGCTGCCCAAGCCGAGACCTGAGCAGCACTCGAGGCTCTCCTGCACAGCTGAAGACTATGGGTGGCACTGGCACCTGTGACAAACTGCTGGTAAGAGACCTCAACTCTCTACAAAAGCAACAGGAAGGCAAATACATCAGTTCTTACTTTTAACAAGCTGCCCAGGTGTCAGAAGAAACCCTGACAGGGACATTATTTACAATTATATTTTCTAGGAGAAGGGAACAGCAGCATTGAAACTGAGTCCTCTTCTTAATTTTTACATGGAATATGCCACACATCCTTAGTCACCTGGGCAGTGTTCAAGCCTGTGGGCCTGAAGGCAAACACTAAAATCCACTCGGGGAGTACTCAGTGATGTCCAGTCTGCATTTCAGAGGGACTGTCACTCTGCTTCTTCCATTAATATTTGTAGTCTTCTTCTACAAATCTGCCTTTCCCTGCAAACTGGAGAATTGGGTTTTTTTTAAAAGGCTGGTAAATGAGACAAGTGGAAGTAGAGTATCCTGGATGGAAGGTACTGGAAAAATTAGTTTCATATATATGCCCAAGAGATGATGGCTGGGATGCAGAGGATCATGAGTCAGGAGAATCCTGTGGTCTTTTTTTTATGCATAAAGTTAGAAAAACAATTCACAACTCTGTCTGGAATCCATGAATAATGTATGCAGCTATTTCAAGGCTTGGTTTTCCACTTTCTCATAATTCTTCTCTCCACAGCTGTCGCTGCACCAGGACAGGACACAGGTCCAGCCTTGTTACACACACAGCTCCTGGTGTTGGCTTCATCCCACGGGCTTCTTCAGGAAAAGGAGCAGCTAATTCTTCCCCATTCTAGATTAGGTACCTAAGAGAACACCCAAATGACTTGGCCCTCCCTATAAAGCAATTCCATCACATGATGAGGATAAGACGAGCATAAAGAGATGAGTTAGATTGACATAATTTAATTTTAAATTATTTCTAAGCAGCTGGTTATCCCAGGGTCTATTTATAGTCAGTGAAGAGAAAGGGGAACTTTTCAACAGTGGTTCATTTGACATATTTTAAATGAGTGGCTTGGACTTGAACCAGCTGCCCACACAAATCACCCAGTGATCTTCAGGTTGTCCGTGACATCCCATATGAGCTTAAGCTGAGTGAATGTAGCTGTATCTACTGAGGTTCTGTGACATTGTCATCTGTGAAAGCTTAAAAAATGTTTTGAGGCACCAACATTTTGTCTCTACTAAGGTTTCTCTGAGAGATCTTTAAGACTTGAACAGGATAAGCCCTAAAATGTAGAGCTTAGCAAGCAAAAAATTCCAAGGCAAACGATGAAAATGTGGTCACATCAAAATACTTATTTTTGGTTTTGCCTACTAGAAGCACATTTCAGTGTGTTCACTTTTAGTGATTTCTTTTCCAAAAAACACTCCATTTCAGAAAAACACTTGGCTCAACAGGACCTTTTAGCAGCGCTCAGAGAGGTCTAATCTGAAGATCAATTTTCACTGCATAATCAGATGGGATTTTAATTGTCCATTTGTCCCCACAGGGCCTGAGACCACAGCTCATTGGGATGATGGCTTGAGTTTGCTCAAGACAGAAGACACAATCAGGGAATCAAGCAGGGAAGAGGCTGCTGCACACAGCCTGCAAAAACTGAAGGATTGGAAATGAAAATGGAGCTATTTTCTCAGCTGGAGAGAATCCACACAGTTCTAGTGACTCCCACATTGAGTCTGATTTACAGGCAAAGAAGATAAAGCCTCTGGTGTTTATCCCTCATATGTACAGCAGTGTTTCAAAGGAAAAAAGATCTTACTACTGCAAAGTGAATTTTCCTAGAAAAGACCCTCAGTGCTGTATTGAGCAAAGTACACAATTATTTGTGAAGGACTTGCTATTATTGGAGCTCTATGTCAACAGACTAATTTCTCTCAGGGCTGGACAGCTCTTGCAAAAGCCACACATCAGTTCCATAAATGGAGAGAGGAAAGGTCATTTAAGAGAAGTAATGATGACAGGCAGTTTATCCTTTCTATTTATCCTTAAGCTGACTTTATATTTTCATTCATTTCTGTTTATAGACATTTCTGCTTCATAATGGAAAACAGAATTAAGGATTTTTACCTTAATATTTATTGGTGGATAAAATGAATCCAAAGATGAAGTGTTGAAGACAGAGTAAAATGGCTTATTTCTTCTTCTCTTACTTTTATTTATGCTATGCTAAGAATATCTTTATTGCTGGAATAAGATTCTCTCCAGCTACAGATGGGAAAGAAAGAGTTTTCATATCTTGCCAGAACTTTGGAAGTTTAGTCTTTCCATTTCTAAATTGAGATGAAAATATTCAGACCCCCAAAATGGAGTTATAAACCAGTGATCCAAAAACCATTTGGACCATCTGCTTTGGCACTGACCAGCTATAACCTGAACACACAAACCCAGAAACTCTTCTGAACCAAAAGAAACTTTTCACTGAGTGATTTTTGGTCATAAAATTTTTGTTTCATAAAACCCAAACTCCGAGAGAAAATTTATCTTCCTTAGCAAGATGAAATTGCCAAAATGCACAAAAGAGGGAACGCTGACTCCGAAGGTTCCTTTGCAGTTTTCCCCAAGCCCAGGAGTTTAAAAGGGAAGTCATTAAGCTCTTCTCTTTTGAGAATTTAGTGGACAACTGGTATTTATTTTGCTCATTTTCTGCTGGGCTTTGTATTTTATGCTTCACAGAAAGCTTTTACTTCTGTGCTTCTTAGAATGTTTGTTCCTCTTCACTCCCAGGAATTGTAAAAATTATTCCATTTAGACTTTGTATTTTTATGCAATGTCGTAAAATCCACCTCAGGATTAAGTAACCCAAACTGGGATCAGAGCAGTCATTTCAGGGGGAGCATTAGATGCTGTCATCCTGCCCTCAG